GTCTTTGAGTCATCGCACTGCGGTCTGTGCAAATTGCGCTACCAGCAAGTGACCGAACTTGCTGTCTGCACAGATCGAACAATTCGCCGAATTCAGCGCATAGATCTAGCACTGAGTGTAGTTATCGCTACGAGGTGCAGGCAGCTTGTTTACACGATCACCTGCAGCTGCAAGCGTGCCACGAGTATCTAAGCATGAATTGCGACTTTGATGGACCTCTTTGCAGGCACGTACCTGTTCAAAAGAGCACTATACTTCAAGAACTGGGCACCGTCCTGAGCTGTCACCGCTTGCTCTGTAAATGTAAGCAGAAGTTTCGGTCATTTTTCTGTGGTTGTTGTGATCGATGCTGGAAGGTTCCAGACAGAGAGCTGCTCGAGACTCAGTCATGCAGTTGCAGGGAAACTTACTTGCAGCTTAAAAGTCGCAAAACTTGTATTGCAAATGCCCCCTTCAGCATGTCTCCACTCGGCTGCCAAAACATTGCCTGAGGTGGGAGCGTGTAGCAGAGATGCCGGAGACCATCATCGTGGATGACATACTTGAGGTCCAGCAGGAAAGTCGGCCGTCTTATGACATCAAAACCAATCTTACAGGCTTATCCGAACATGCCCGATTTCCAGTGGGGGCCCCCAAAAAGTCCTCGCCTCGACAAAGGCGCTCCCAGTGCCTCGTACCGCGAGGCTGAGCTTCCTCTGCGACGGGGCGAGAAATCGAACAAGGGTCGCTATCTCAATCTACCTCACACTCTTCTTTCTCTTGCGAAGTTTCCCCATGCGAAGACTTAGGTGATCCAGCGAGCGGGTATCGACCCAACGTATACCGTCCAAATGGTCGCTGCAATCCATATCAGCCTTGAAGAGGCGCCTGCCACAAGATTCGCAGGGCTTTGAACAAATTCCCCCCGGGCACCACTGAGCGGGCAACCACAGATCATGATGGACCTCATGAAACTCAAGAAACGTGGCTGGATGGGAAAAGGCTTCGAGGCACGTTCGCCTGTCATCTGAGCTTTTCCTCTGTCAATCTGTGTCACATTCTTGTTGCTACTGTGAGGTTCCTAGTGACGAAGACAGGAATCTCGTGAAGGAGCAAGAGTCAGAACGAGCAAGGGGTGCATAGAGACGGACTGCAGGTAGTCTGCACTGCATCGGCATGGCATGAGCAAGATGAGTTGATTTGACTGACGTGTCGTAGCCGCGAGGAAATCCTCGCCGGCATTGCAGTGCAAAGTGAGTGGATGTTGAATGCGCAGAAGCATGTGCACGGATCCTAAGAGGGCAAGATGCTGGTTTACTAGTAGCAGCACAGCTCAGAGTGCTACGACGCCACAATGGATCAGGGCTCTGTCTACTGCACAGCAAGGCACGGATGAGGAGGGAGACGATCGGAAAACCCAACCAACCACACGCAATCGTGACCCTCAGTGCAACACAGTAAGGCAAGTATTTTGAAGTCCACACCCCATTACTTCGTGATACTCATGCCGGTCACAACAAGCAGCCTTTCCACCCGCATGGCCATCAACCAATCAGATTTTTCGTTCACATGACAGCACCACACCGCACAAACTCATGTCCTCAACGTGAGCACTAATGCAGTTGCGGAATGAGGCCATCTTACATAGTTAGAGTTCTTCATTTTTCATTCCGGACAAACCCTGTGCAACTGGGTGTACTGGATTGGGCTTGACATCACGCCCTTCAAGTATACGGGTTAGGGATGGGTGATGCCTGTGACGCACACTAGCTCAGCGGCTTTTCGGTGCCAGTCGGCTGCGCGACTGTTTGCACGCATGCCGACAACACAATTCAATTCCTGAGGCAAAGTCTTGAACGTATGAGTTTCTGTCCAGAGTACATGGACATGAATCAAGAACACAGACAGACTTGTATGAAAGTATTCGCTCTTCAGAATCCAAGGCGAATCAGCATTTTGCTTCGAAATTCGGGAACAGGCCAAATTCGTGAAATGCAGAATTTGTCACACGTGTAGCAGCGTTTAGAGTCTTGCAGTTCGCGGCCGGCCCTGCCGCCACGACACACACCACCATCGCGTATGCCCGTACACGAGCATCATATTATTCGGAGTTCTCGTGAGCATGATCTAGTCTCCATGCCGCCTCTGTGCCAAGCAGCTTCACGCACAACTCGTGGAGAACACCGAACAGCTGGCACATGCTGGAACAAAGAAGGAACAAAAACGGGAAGAGAAACATGCACATCAGATGGATTCTATGCGTGCCTTCAGCCACAAGGTCTCCGGTCCTGTCGAGGTAGTCTCTCGGTACCCTGGTTACTCTCGTTTACATGCGTGGGTAGCTTTCTAGATCTTTCTAGCTTGGTGCCACTTTGTTTGGGGGTGAAGCCGTGCGTACAGCATCGCCAATCTGGACCCTACTGAACTTTTGCTTTGATTCCCGAGTTTGGGCCCATGGAGTTTCCAGGACTGGGGTTGGCTATCTTCCGGGGCGGGACCCCAGAGGGCGGCACTTCAGGCGGCCCAACCGCCGACGAGCACCCTGCCCCAGCCGCCCGGTGTCCCTCAACGCGGCGACAGTGCCATTTCCGCTCTTTTCCTCTTCTCTTTTTCATTTCCCTTCCCTTTACCTGTTGCCCCAAATCATGCTTCTATGCGGCTGGCTGCTTTCGAACCTGGACCTTGTGCTCCCGTGTTGTCGTTGTGGCCGTCAGTGCTTCCTGCATCCGCTGGCGGCATGGTGTGGGCTGCTCTATATCTGGCCCTTTCGCTCCAGTTGCATGGCCGTTCTCTTCCTACGGCTTGTTCTCCCCGACGTGTGGTTGACATCTTGCTCGCGTGTTTCCTCTGCTATGGCTATGGATTTCCTATTCCGTTGGCTGCATGTCGGCATGGTTTACGACATGTTTTGATTAGCCCGGGCGTTCCTGCGTTGTCCTCGGCGTGGCTTTGCGCTGTCTCTCTATTCAAGAGGTACGACACATCTACGGTAGTAGTTGTGAAGGATAAACGATGACAAAAACAAAACGATAACCCAATTCCGGGATGGGGAATTTTGTACGGGGTTGTTTCACCTCAGGTGAAAACATCGAGCCTTGGGGCGAAGGTCTTCACAGCCCTGGAATGATGCTGGCCACAAGGTTTTGCCAGATACATTGCAACACAAGTTGTTGACATTACAAAAATGCAAGCTGCTTGAAGCTCTAGCAGCCGTTGGCCTGCAGCTTCGCTTCGAACGGCCTCAGCCGAGGTCGTGGTTACACAATCAGATCGGCACAGAAGCGACAGACGGGGCTGGATACGAGTGGAAAGCGACCGGGCCAGCCTGGGCCCCCAGCCAGCGCATGTGTGCATGTCTGCTTGTCAGGCACATCGGTGGCCTTTTTGGCTTTTATCAGAAGACCGTTGCGAAGCTCACATGTAAACGAGTAAGCAGCACTGAACTTTCGAAACTTCGCAGGTCGCAAGCGGATTCAAGCTAGCGGAATTGGAGTTGCAGCCCTTTGAAGGTTTAAACAACGCCCCTGGTAAGGAGCCAATGTCAGAGCGGCGCCGGATGGTTAAGTGCAAATGGCTGGGATTGATCATGTTGTCCACGTGGGGTGTTCTTTCCTTGGACTTCATGTGGGCCACAGGCCATTCCCATGAGTTAAAGGTGCCTGCCAGAAAGCAGAGACGACATTTCTTGTACGTGGCCAGCTTGCTGACTGCAGAGCAGGCCAAGGCTCAAGATGAGAAGGCCCTACTTCTGAAGCGCGAGTTGCCACCACTGCCACCAGCATATGCCCGGGATGCGAAGCAGCTGGCTGATGCGATCAAGAGCGCTGCCATCACAACCATACGGGTGAATCGCCGAGGGGACGCCCAAGCAGCTAAGCAACTACGAAGACTGGAGCAAGATGTAGCTGGAAAGCTAGGCTCTTATGACAGAGATTGGCTGACCACGCAGCTGGAGTTTAAGAAACTCAGCGCAGATGATCAGGCAGTGCTTCAGGAGCATCCTGTTTTCCTTTCCATGAAGGAGTTAGTTGCCAAGTTGCAGTCTGGTGGGTCTGCAGATGTGGATATCACCTCGTTCCGCTTGGATCTTTCACGGCAGGCTGCCTCCGTCCTTCAGCTAGTAGAAGCAGCTGGAGTGTCAAAGTAGAGGTAATCAGGCACTATCAAGCCACCACAACTTGTGCTTTAAATCGGGGACTGCCTCGTACCAGCGGAGCGGGCATGCAAAAATTGAACGAGCATACGTAGATTCGTGCGCAGATGGCTGGTTCTGCTCCGTCATGTTCTGCATGAGCCTCACGGTGGATGAGCAAAGGTTGAGGTTCCTGTGCCACGAAGCCGACAAGGCCTCCGAACTGTCTCAGATGAAATACATTTCTGTCATCAGCTACCGTTGGCTACCGAAAAACTCAGGAAATGACTGACGAGACTTGCGGAAGTGGTGGGCAGCCTCAGGCAGTGGTGGCCAGCTTGTGTAGTGCCAGAAGTTTGTGCACATCGCTGCCCGAACTGAGGAACGTCGCGTGAGGGGCACACGTTCCAGGTCTGTGATCGGGGTTTTCTTAACACTGAGGCTTCGGGACACACGTAATAATATATGTGTGTCTCGCAACTGGGGCTTCGGGATATGTGCAACATGTTGTACACATGTTTATTGCATTGGTCTTTGGGTCGAACCTGAAACGCGTGCGAGCAATCGCTTGCTTGGTTTCACCCGTGTCACTTTCAAAAGGCCATCCGAAGGAGGCTTGATGAGGCATTGATTGAGCCTATGAGCCTGCAGTGCCTGCGTTGAAGAGTAAAACATCTAGGCCATCAGGCCATTCAAGACGTTTGTGCTTGGTAGACTTATCCCCACGTGGCCAAATGCAGCAGTGTTGACGATGTGCTGGCCGTTTCAAGATAGCATAGCAGGTCCTGGCAGCATCTGCATAACCTTGTATATCCAAGTCTCCTAATATCTCTGATGAAAGCCCTAGGTTAACCTGAAGTTGCAAAGACACCTGTAAGTGCGCAGAGAGATGGTTCTGCTGATCTTGCGGCCTTCCTTGCGGGGATCCACGGTGCGCTCTACGCCCGGCATCACTTCAGCTGACAATGGGTCACTCCGCGAAAGGCTCACTTCGAGGAGCTCCAGGAGCTTTCCGCCATGGCCTTGGCGGCCATGGCTCGGGTCGAGATCTGCGTCCGCGAAATGGGTGATGCGGAGTTCGCCCGTCGATGCCAAGCCATCCAAGGCCAAGCTTGTGCGCGGATTGGTGGCCGCTTGCATCCAAGACTACACTAGACGACGCAAGAGTTTCCGGAGCGTTTCCGGCTTAAGGAGTTCTAGAGGTAGCCTGCTTCTTCCAGTGCTGTGTGGCTTGTAAACTTTTCTGATCCGACTCAAAGAGCGCCCTGCGAGCCTTCTGTCGTCAAGGTCACCTTTGTGAGCGTGGGGGTTGTTGTTGCTCTGACGACGAACCTGGATCTTCCTCCCAGTTTCGGACTGATTGCATTCGCCCTGCAGTGGGGCTTCTTCCTGCTACAGGGTTGGCCACAACGTTGCTTGGTTCTGTCTGCAATGTTCTGCATCGCCGCACGCGTTTGCGACACGTGTGCACGGCCTCGAAGCATTGCAGATGCTCCCAGGTTCTGAGAAGCTGTATGATGCCTCAGGCCATGGGTCACGAGCTGTGACGATACAAGTTACAAGTTTACACGTTGAAGCAGAGTGCAGTTTTTGCGCTGCGGCGGCTCCGGAGGCTCATTGACTCATCTGTCGATTATTCTGGCGGGTCTCCTTCATGATCCAGTTCGGAGCCCTCGCCAGATCCTTTTGAGCATCTTCGCAGTCGTGTGGTGTACACGACTCGGAACATTTCTCTTCAACCGCATTTCCCAAGACTCGAAGGCCCCTGGCCCCTGGAGCCCATGGCCAAAGTCAAGCACAGCGGCTCATGTGCGCAATGCTGTGCGCAATGCTGTGCGCAATGCTGTGCGCAATGCTGTGCAGGATTCCAGATTCACAGAGTTGAAGGAGGAGTTCTGGTCTTTCTCCATCGCCTGGAACTTGCAGGTGTTATGGGTTTTCCTGCTTGAACTACCAGAGGCTTGAAGGCATTAGTGCTTGGACAGCTTGGAATTGTTTTATTCTTGGCAATGCTGAAGGTCATGCTGGTAAACACGTCTCCTCAACCACCCACTGGTCTTTGGGATGTGCTGGGCTGGTCGTTGTGGTGCGCTGGCTTTTTGCTGGAGGCCGTGCTAGCCCCAGAGGTAAAGCATGGTGAGGCAGGGATTGCGCCTGGCCGCTTCGACCCCCCTGCCTGGACCAACCGAGGTCGCAGATGGCCAAAAGTTTGCTTTTCGAGGAGATCCATCAAACCGGGGACGCTTCATTACCACAGGTCTGTGGAGATACTCGCGACATCCGAATTACTTTGGGGAAATCTTGATGTGCATCTGCTGCATTTTGCGCTTCTTTTCACGCTTCGGTGGGGCATCGCCCATGTTTCGACTTGAGGTGGATTGGTCTGTGCACATCCTTCACATCCTGCGTTTCATCCAAAGCTCAGCTGCTGGCCTGGATTTCGCCTGCGTTCAACGCACTTCTCCTCATTTATGTCGCAAGCTTAGCCAAAACGGCAGCCGGCACAAGCACAGAGTTCTCAGGGGTGCAGTTTTCCCTGGTTTCCACTCATGTCTATTGCATCCACTCCAGCCAGTTACGCTAGTTTCTCTGGTTTCTGCCTGGTTGCAAATCATGTTCTCTGTCGCAATTTATCGCCAAGGTCTCGGGCGTGCCACTCCTGGAAAAGGCAGGAGCAAAGAAGTGGGGCCGGGAGCCGGAGTACCGACACTACATGGAGGACCCGGCCTCGAGAGATTTGCTGAAACTTGTGTGTGCAAGAGTCCCGCGATCGATTGCACGACTTGATGTATAATGCGTGTCTGGTAGACTATGAATCTCACAACATGACAACAACCACAACGTCTACCACTGTTGCAGAAGTGAATGTCCCTGTGCGTTTTTTTGGAACGTGTTTGTTCTTAAAAGGACTCTGGGCTTTTCTCTCATCACAGACACTGCCCATTTATGTCCGGACGGATGCGAACAACCTTGTAACAACGGCTGGTACCACACATCTGCCGGAACAGAAAGACATTTGCCATCTTATCCAGATGCTTCGAAAGGAGTCAAATTCTGGCTCGCTAGACGATCTAGCGCATGTGAGCTCGAAATACTGCTTAGCAGACGCATTAACAAAGCATTCCGCGCGACCGGATGAACTGATTAAGGCCCTGAAAGCAGATGACCTTGGTGAAGTAGATCTTCATTTGCCTGTTCGTGAGCTTTTGCATCACAAAGCATTTACCCTTCGCTGGATGGTCAAACGCATTGACGATGCCGCGTCCGCGATCGCGATGCTTCGATGTCCCCGCTGAGATGTATCGACTCTTTTATTGCCACGGAATATGGTGGTAATGCTCATGATGCCTGTGAGCGTGCGTGCAAGACAAATTTTCTGTTTAGACTACTGCATGTATAAGAGAAAATTAGCGTCTGCACTCGACATGTCATGACATGTTTCTGCAATGCCAGTGCTGAGACCTGTCATGTCACAATCTGTCCCGCACTGTTGTCTAAAAGGAAAGCTTGCCTGTTTGAAAGGAGGCGTTTCTGTCTCAGCGCCACCAGCTCCTTGCTTTTGCTACACCTCCCTCTCGGGGCTGTCTCTCTGAAAAGACCGTGAGCATCCGATCCAACTTCAGAGATCGATGTGGGAGGGGGAGGGGGAGGGGAGGGGGAGGGGGAGAGGGGGAAGGGGAGAGGGGGAAGGGGAATGGGAAGGGAGGGACGGACGGAGGGAGGGAGGGAGGGAGGGAGGGATGGAGGGAGGGGAGGGATGATATCGGGATGATTCTGATTTATTCTGATGTATTCTGATGCTGGTGATGAGGATGGCGGTTAGAGGTGGTAATGGCGATGGCGCTGCTTGTGCACATGCGCTGGTGCTGTCGGCTATTGTTGTTCTCCTTGTCCTTGTTGTTGTTGTTGTTGTTGTTGTTGTTGTGGCGGCTGAATAAATACTAAATTTAATACTCAATGCACCTGACATAGATGCGTAACCCTGCTGCAGAACACTTCTTGCATCGTTCCGTGGGTTCCAGCTCCAGAGTATCCCGGCAACAAATCTGAGGCGGGGAGTGGAGTGTAGTGCAGCATGGCATGCCCAAAGAGGTATGCCAATTCACTGTGCTGTATTGTCATGTCCGGCATCGAACTGGCCCAAAATAAGTGAACACTTAGGAATATGACAGGATGGAAGCTGTTGTTTGGCTAAGCAGCGTCGCCATCCACGGCTTCGTTTATCTCTGGCTCCAGCTGTTTGCCAAGTTCACTGAGCTGTAATGGTAATCGGGGATTGGCAAGGCCCTGTTCAGTTTTGTTGTGTTTGTTAGAGCCATGCCATGAGGACCCACATGAAAGGTTCGTGCACACCGCTTCTTTGTAGGGTGGTGAGAAAATCGCGCTTCCATAGCAACCTCGTGCAATGACAGGGAAGACGCGAACGGAAAGAGAGAGAGAGAGAGAGAGAGCTCAAGCCAAGTGAGCAGAGGGATGGGATCGCCTTGCATGGCTTGACAAGGCATACGTTGATGTGCAGGCAATTTGATTTCCCACATGTTCACAGCTCCAGGCTGTCATATGACAAGATGGGTCCAGCTCTCGATCTAGGCCCGAGGCTTGCTCGTGTCTCAATTTCCTTCAGAGGTCAATCGAAATTGTTATCAGGGCTCAACCTTGTCGTTTTCTTCGCTCTACTGGCGATTGTGGGCAGCTCAACTCCGTTCGCTTCATGGCTTTTTTTTTTGCGCTCCTGCGTGTGCCATCGTGACTTGCCTGGTCTAGACTGCAAAGTTTCGAGCGTGCATTCTGACCATCGCGGATGCGACTATGGCTGTACTTCGAGGTGACCAAACATCAAACGAGTCAGCGCGGTATGTTGCCAGCCAGTGACAGACTGAAAGCCTGGTTTTATGTTTCTATCTCCGTCGCATGCCGTCGCAGCTTGAAGTCAGTCAGCGGACCGCTCATAAAATCTGCAACACTTCTCAGCCGAGAGCTGTTTCTGCCCACTGGAGGCTGCAGGCTGTCACACAGTTTCGCGGCTGGGATAGCTGTTCCTTGTTTGCTGTCAACATCTGCCAGCATGGTTGTGCGGGCAGAAGGGCAACCAGAACAGCCGCACCCAAAGCAGGCACCTGCACCACTCAGACTTTGGATTGAGATATCTGACCGTTGCTGGCAGCCGTGTGGATGGTGCATCTGTTGATGTGATGACCTCGTTTGCCCGGGAATGTTTGTGAGCCAATAGGCCGTACTCGAGGATGATAGTCACAAGCAGAGCTAAAGCGTTACGGCGGGCTGGCGGGCTTTCGGCTGAGATCACTCAGGCCGTCTGCATCTTCAGCGTTTCCGGCCGGGGCTCGACGCGGCAGCGGCCTTGCCCTTCGCGCGACCTTGTCCCAGGCAGCGATGATGAGAAAGCCTCAAAAACATCTTCACATCGCAAGAGGCATTTCTGTGCGTGCGGATTTCTATGCACTCGGAACAAGCAAGAGACCAAGCCGACAGGCTGGCAGCTTGCGGTGAGGAGCAGGACGGGACCCAGCCTCCGAGGAGTCCTACAAGAGTTGATCTTCTTCCTGGCAGGAGTCTCCGCTCGAGCAGGGGCAGCCCGACTCAGATCCTTTGATGACCCTTGCCGAGATGAGAATTGCCCTTGAGGCAGCGCTGTTTCGGCACCGTGCAGCGCTACTCTGAGCGAAACGGCCGCTGCCTTTGGAAAGACTTTTGGACCTCTCGCTCTCTGCAAAACCCAGCCCGCCAAAGATCCCTTAAAGGGAAGTTCGCACGCTTGAACAAGACATCCCCAGTTCTCCCAGCTGGCTGCTTGTATGCCTCAGCTAAAATTCAAGCTTGAAGCCGCCACTCTGAGCCATCTTCCAGGCATTGGCTTTATCGCATGTGCTCCCTGCAGGGCGCGTATCTCAAGCAACTCCGAGCTGTGATCAAGCACTGTTGTAACAGCACGCCACCGAGGCTGTTTATGGACGCGATGTACAGTTATTTCAAGAAGACTGGGAGGACGGTTCCTCATGCTTTGACAGTCACGGCGCAAACGCTAAGCGGCAGTCCTTAAAGACGAAATGAACCTAAAAGGGTTTAAGGTTCATGTACCATACAGGAATTCATAGCAGAAGGGTATAGGGCCTGTACTTTTAAGGGGCTTTTGGTCCTTAAGGGTCTGTGGTCTCGTGCAAGCCTCGTGCCTTGGTTCTGGGTGATGTCAGGTGCCGTGCTTCGGAATCGTATGTCGTACGCCTTTTCAAAAACAGGCCAGGACACCAGCCAACCATTCTTTCCGAGTCGGGACAAGCCCAGTCATGTCGTGTAGGAGAGGCGAGCCAAAGCGCATCCACGCATCAAGCAATCGCAACCAATGCCCTCGACACTGCTTCACGTGTGGCAGCAGACCAGTCGAAAAGGCTTTGGAGCTCACAGTTGGATCCGCTTGGGCCCCAGCTAGGGCACCAAATCAGGTTTCACATTGCTGTGAAAGCGTGAAAGCATGTAGCTGTGCAGTGTTGTGCCGTTTGAGATTCTGTGTGAGGCCGTCAGCTTCCTTCTTTGCGTGGAAGAGCGTTTTCCGTGTCCGAAGGGGAGGCCCATCTCGTGCTTTGCACCTGTCAGTTGACTCGTCCATGCACGTGCTAGCGAAGGCCCTGGGCTGCAGATGTGCAGCGAGTTAGGCGATGGAAATCCTGAATTTCCACCATGAAAGCACATCACGACTTGGCAGGTGAGAGCGTGTGCTTGCCTTCGGTAGCGCTGTGACGTTATTGGACGATGGGGCTTCAGAGCTCATGTAAATAGCTGCCACACTGCCGAAGCTGCTAAAGAATCAAGGCGACATGTCTTTGCAAGAAGTAGGTCGGACTCAGCTAGACCGCAAGAGAAGGCTCTCAAAGAACACGACAGAACAGGATGCTAGCAGTCTGAAATTCGTTATGCGTGTGAATCTCGCAGCCTTGCCAGCTCAAGGGTGACGCACCTTGTCAGATCTTGTCACATGTGTGGTAGAGCCACTCCAACTGCTGCACAGCGCTCTCGGATAGCCGAAGAAACGCGGAAGACGGCTAGCCAGATGCTGAACATGCATGCAAGATACCTATGTTTGTTGACAAGCTGTGCAATGGTTCCAGGGCACAGCTAGGCTCGAAGCTCCTTGGACGCGTTTGCGGGCAATGTCAATGTTTCAAGGAACGTTGCACTTAGGTCGTACGTTCTGGGGTCGGCGCGGCTGGGACAGCTCAGGCCGAGAAACTCCGCCTGCTCAGCTCTCCTTCGCTTCTTCGCTTGACGTGTCCAAACACAGTCGCGGAGGGACTCCGCGAGCTTGGCTCGGCAGCTCGTGGAAAACCGCGGGCGCTTGGCAGCCCGGGTTCGCCACCAGCTCCGTGCGCGACTCCATGCAGACGGCTACCTGTACCTGAGGCACGGAATCCAAAGCATTTGTGTCGCGAAAGCTAGCTCCTTTCAACTTTCAACGTTGCGGGAGTTTTCGTATACAGTTTTTGTTCAGGATCTAAAGTTAGGGAGCCCTTGCTCCGAATATATCGGGGATCTAAGCGTGAGGGCGCCCTTCCCCAAGTGATTCCCCGATAAATTTGCATGGCTGCTTTCTCGATTAGGGGGCCCTGCCTTGAGGCCCTCCCTCCCCGCTTCAAGGCTTCAGCACAACAGACGGCAGAACCGCTATTAGGCGACATAGCCGCAACGTACATCTGCACAACTGCAGACAGCAGCCTTGCCTAAGAGAATGTTGATTTCTTGTCCGATTTCTCGTTGACAAGCGCAAGCAGCCACGAGTTTGTAGGAGGGTAGAAAAGCATTCCAGAGTTATTTCTCACATGAGGAACCCACTTTTGTCATGCGTCTTTCGGTGCCTAGGCAAACATGCGAACTCAATATTTCAATCACACTTGATCGGGGAACAACTTGCCTGCCTGTTCGCAACGCAGCATACAAGGAGACTGCATTATTCACATTCGATTACTGTCCCACTAGGTTTCGTCTGCACCCTCAAGTCTCCACCGGTTTTCGGCTTCCGGCTTTACGGCTGCAGGAGCTTCTTGCCGGAGGGCCCTGTTGGCAAAGCACGCTTGTCGCTGCTTCACCAATTTCAACGTGCTGGCTTGCTGGCAGACGGCTGTCCACCTGGGCAGGCGGTCGCAGTCGGCCGATGATGTGCAGACACGTTCATTTGTCTGTGATCTTTGACGGCATCGATGAGCGCCCATGTTCCGTAGATCAGCTCCATGTCATGCGCCGCGTTCCTCCATTCAAACAGGCAGTATGTGGAGCAAACATCGAAAACGGCAAGCCCGAATGTTTCTGCTCGGAAGAGGTGTTGGACGTGGTAAATGATGGTGAATCTCGCCGGATTTCAGCTTCTCACACGGACAGGCTTGTGCGGCAGCAACACAAATAACAACAGTCCTGCAGCAAAGGACTTGTTTCAGTTCTTGGACTCTTTGTTTGCGGACGCTGTGGAAGTGGTCTTCGATTCAGCCAACCTGCGTGCTGTGAAACCGGGGCAGGGTACTGGATTCCACACTGACTCTGCCACCCCCTTGGTCAGTGCTTTGTAAAGAGTATGATATGTAGTCAGTACACATTCGCATGCCTTTTCGTTGTAGGTCTACATGGGCAAGCTGATGGTAGCTGGCCGACCCCCAGTCCTGGCGTGCTGGATTGCGCTGATGCCAATTTCCCTCGAGTTGGGGGGCCTCGTCCTGTGCCGGGGTTCCAACTCACATCCAGGAGCTGCAGCAAAGAAGCACGAGATGCCGGAAAGAGTCACTCTACCGATATCTTCGCGGATGGATGTGCGACTAGAATATGGTCCATAGCGGGGTGAATTTAAAGCTCGGTGCTTCAACTCGCCACATCTGGGAAGGCTTCTGAGGCTTCTGTTTCTATTTCGCACTTTCCCTAAACCCATGAAACTTCTGGAGCAGCTGCCAGTAAAGTGAGGGGCGAGTGCAGTGATTGCAGTGACAAGTTCAACTTGGAGCCGTGAGGATTTGAGATTCTGCGAAGAACTTACGGAGAGCTGGACTTGGACGAGAACGACATTGGGGGCACTGGTTGGTTTTCCGAGGATCCCGAAGAAGTTACTTGACCCGGTTAGTAGACTTGGCCACTTGCTCGTGGGTGAGGCGCATTCTGGTGTGTGTCACTGTGGCAGGTCTCAAAGTTAGGCGGTCGCTGGGAAACTGCCGCATATGGGGCAGGACCGGAATGAGCTCTAAAAGTCCATAGTCTTGACGTGAGTTGCCAACTGCGATTACTCTCGAAGGAGACGTTGTGATTTTCACAATGCACACCATGCATGGCAGCTCCACGAACCGTACAGATTCGTGGCGCCTCTCCGTGGACTTTCGTGTGCAACCGTCTCATGCACCACCGACACTGGTTTCCCAAAACAAGGGCAGGCAGAGCGGCAGATGTGTTTTGAGTTATCTCGCATCACCCCATCCTGCCCCTGAGCCGGGGCAGGTGGTCTCGGCTCCGTCATAGCCGATCGGACTTTCCACGAAGTATGGACGAGGCGCCTTTGAAAGCACATGGAAGCAGTCACCATTGGCCGTGCGACGGAAACTCTTTCAAGTCTGAGGCCAAGGCTGCATGGAACCTGCACCAGGCAAAGACCGTTGAATGGGTTCTGCTCACGGAAGACATGAAAGAAGGGGTCCCTGGTACTCGTAGGCAGCGCGTGGCTCGAAGCGTCCTGCGGCTGAGCCTCCCGCTACACAGCGAAAACGGCTGTGCACACGATACCTCCAGCTGTTGTCTCTTATCCGTTTCTGCTATGACCTTTGAAAAGCATCCTTTGGCCCAAAGCTGTTGATGCAAATCTGCATCGGTATAGAAGGTCTAAGATTGGAACACGTGCGGATTCTGTCAATAACTCAATAACGAAAAGTTTCGCAATACTCAACACTCCGCCTGCGCTTTGCTTGCGATGGAACTGCTCAATTCAGCGACGCAAGCTGCCAGTTTAATGACGCATGCAGGACATCGATGAAGGTCGAAGGCTGCTCATGGCCAGCCATGACGCAGAAACAATCTCTTGTTCAGGTGCATCTGGACACTCAAGAGACATGCAAAAGGAGCTGGACGAGTGGCGGCAGCAAAGAGCCAGGCAAGGTAAAGCTAAGGAGAGCACCTTAGAGAGAAGCTTCACCGCTATCACGCCGAAAAAGATGCAGAGGAGGATTCCCCTCTCGCCTCGATGCAGCGTCGACAGCTCGTCCATAACAGTTCAAGAGCGCGACATGCGCAAGGAACTGCAGTCCTGGAAGGAGGCCAGAGCAAGGCAAAGCAGAGGCAAGGAAAACTTGTTTTCTCAGCCATTTCGAGGGTTGAAATCCCAGCGGCCGAGAGCCACTGACATGCGTCGGGCGTCTAGCCCTGCTTCACCCACGGACCAAGGATGCTTGATGGGGAGCCCGGGGGTCTGTTTGGGAGGGAGCGCTGTTGCTGCAGCCATCGCCACGTTGGAACCTCCCTTGCTGCTGGCACCACCGCCTTCGCCCACCGCTCGGACCGGCTCAAACTGCGCTGGCCTTGGAAGTGAAAAAAGAGATGGAGAGGGAGAGGGAGAGGGAGAGAGGGGCCCGTCAGACCTGTCAGAGGAGGAGAAGAAGGGGGCAGAACACAGTCTGTAAGGTCCTGGCCTGAGGGACCGGACCCTGCAACCCAGCGTGCTGCATGCTGCGGTGCTGGCGGCATTCTCCGTTGGTCCCTCAGAGGCTTGTACTAACATGGAAGATGTGCAGAGAAACGCACGGCAGACCCACAACAGTGTACATTTGGTCCTCGAATTTTCGTTCTGGTCCGACTCTCTTGTGCTAGTACCTCCGAGCCAGGGCATTGTCAGCATGCCACAGACTCCAAGGGCATCTAGACATCACCACATTTGTACAAACCAGAACAGAGTCTCTTGTGGTAACGACTTACTCCATATTCCACCAACTGCAAACAAGCCACTAGTCTAGTATTGTCATGTATGGCCTAGAACAGTTCATCCTGGAATATCTTCGGATTCACAATGATGCAGTGGTGAGCCTTGTTTGATGCATGTGTAGGTGCCGGAAGAGTTTGCCAGTCAATCTTCAATCCAAAATTGTCGGCACCTCGGACCATCTCGGACGAGATTTTATGTCAAGCTGCAGCTGGTCTGGACTGGCTTTGCTTTTCGGCTCACAGTGTTTTGGTGGACATAGTTGCACTGCCAATAGAAAGAGACACCTGTCACCTGGAGCTGGGAACATCATCTTCAAGTTCTCTGCAATTTCGGCGCACGTTGCAGTCTCTCTACTCGACAAGACCCGTCTGAGCAAGGGCTGATTGCCATACTCCATACCTGGTCAGCGGCTGCAGAACATGTATTGGCTGTCATGTAGGTCCAACATGCAGTCTGCCGCCTAGGCGCCAGCAGCACCACGGCGTGCAGCCCGGACAAGATGTCTTGCAAGTCCTTGAATGACGTGCGCGCTGAAACCGGCACTGCTTTGCGCATCCGGCACCTGGTCGCCGAGTGGTGTGCAATCAGGAGTTGGATGAAAGAAGTATGAGTCTGAGGCTGGAGCTTCCGGTGCCAAGGAGGTGGACTGCAAGGGTGCCTGGCGCAGCATATAAGCAGGCTACAAGCATTTGTCTGTTGGGCCGCGCTCGCGATCGCTCGCTCTCTCCCTCTCTCTCTCGCTCGCTCTCTCAGCTGGAATTGCGCTTCAAACAGCACCTTCTATTTGTGAACGGACCTTTTGCTGAGTAAAACAATAATTAGCCTGCATTGTTGTAGTGACAATCGTGGACGATCGGCGATGCAATACCTGGACTTGGCCAAGCAAGACCGCATCCAGCGAGCTACCAATGGATGGAAGAGCTAGCTGTAGCCTACCGGGTTTGTTTGTTCTCGCTCCTGCAAGCAAGGCCTCGGCGAACAGGACGTGTGCGTCGTTTTTTTTTGCCCTATGGCCTCGGTTACACCCACCGTCGTCGCATCATAGTGGCAAATTTACTTCGAGAGATAGAAGCTTCTATAGAGCACGAGTGAGGCATGTTATGCTGGACTTCGCTTCCCGTACCGCCACGCTCGACATGTGGACCTCGCTTGTAGCGCCCCCAAGATCAAAACTCGGAGGTGGATCTCGGCGTACACAGGGCTTGGATTCGCGCAAATAAAGCAGCGTCTACTTGGAGATTTGTTGCCAACATGTACTCCAGTCTCGCTCGATGGCTATGAAAAGCGTTTGAAACCCCATGTCCTGAAACTTGAGCTCGCGAGACTTCGAGACTACAGACAGCATCCGCGTCGGGGTCTACGCATATAATTCACAGCATCCACGCTCGGGTAATGTGTACTCTCTGGTTCATGTGAGGTAAACAAAGCGCTCGTATGTCTCTCTTTTGCTCTTGTGGTGTGCCTCTCTGTGCTCAACTCGTTGTGGGGCGTCCAGAATGACCCGATGTGCCCACGAGTCGGGCATCAAGTGCGCACGCGTCTCAGAGGGCTGGGTGCCCTGCAAGGTTGCATGAAGCGTTGTGTTCAAGCCTTCACTACAAGTCACCGCCTGGTGCCATTCGCTGGGCAAAAAACCCGAAGCTGAGACGAGGCGGTTTGCGAGTTGCCACGATTTTACTTCCTGATCAAGCGTGCGGTCGAAGGTCAGAAAGGTTCTGCTGGCTACCGGCTGGCTAGCGGTCCCATGTTTTTCCATATACATTTCCAACACATCGGCTTCATGGGGAGCCTGCGCCTTAGCCAAGCGAAACGTTTGACCAATCGGGTTTCCAAGTCGTCTTGTTGTGGCGAGTCGTAATCATGACGGCGATAAGGCAGCGAGAAGAACACCCAAGTCCACAACCCCAGCATGCAAGATTTGCGTTGCTGCAAGGTGCCCAGACGACCTTTGTGACGCAGACTCAAATTGGCGAGGATAAGGTCTTGCGGTGCGAGCAGTGCGACAAGTCGACATTCTTGATACATGTGCGCGTGCCATGTCAGGGCATGGGCTGCAAAGAGGAAGAGGAGGTGCTCTTGGGTTCCATGTGGTACGCGCCAACCGCGCCCCTCTGACCGTGACTTCTGTGGAGGTTTGTGGACAGGTCAGGAACCCCGTCTCCGAAGCACCTGTCCGGCCAAAGATCAGTGGCACAACGGCAAGCACAACAACACTTCGTGAACCGCTATATATGTATATATATATATATACATGTATATATCTTATAGTATCAGTATTAGCACTAGCATTAGCATTAGCAGTAGCATTAGCATTAGCATTAGCATTAGCATTAAATTAGCATGAAGATGAATGTGAGTGTGAGCATGCGTACGAGTATGAGTATGGATATTTTTAGTATTAGTACAAGTATTAGTACTTATGAGCAATATTAGTAGTAGTAGTAGTAGTAGTAGTAGTAGTAGTAGTAGTGGTAGTAGTAGTAGTAGTAGTAGTGTTGGTATTCGTATCAGTATCAGTATCAGTAAGCAGTATCAGTATCAGTATTAGTACAAGTTATAAGTATTAGTCTTCGTATTAGTATTGGTATGCACTTGTATATACCGTTCGTATTTGTCGATGCGTAGAATAGTATGGTTACTGGTATAGGTATTGGTATTGGCATTAGCAAGAGTATTCGTACTCGTAGTGGTACTGGTACTGGTAGTATTGGTATTGGTGTCGTAATTTTGGGCATTGATATTGGTATGGGTATTCGTAGCAGTGGTCGTCGTCGTGGTACTAGTAGTAGGCGTCGTGGTAGTACTAGTAGTGTCAGTGTCGGTGTCGGTATCGGTACCGGTATCGGTATTGGTACCAGTACCGGGAATGGTGTACCGGTACTGGTACTGGTAGTGGTGGTGGTAGTGGTATTGGTAGTGGTAATGGTATTGGTATTGGTATCAATATCAGTATCAGTATGAATGTCAGTATGAGTATCAGTATGAATGTGAGTATTAGTACTAGTTTTTAAAACGAATACTAATATTATATTAGTATTCGTTTTAGTACTTACTGGTATTAATACTTTGTTAATACAAGTATTAGCATTAGTATTCGAACTAGAACTGCTAGTATTAGCACTAGTATTAGTATTATTAATGGTATTAGTACTAGTATTAGCATTAGTATCAGTACCAGTCTTGGCAGTAGTATTAGTATTAGTATTGTTAGTATTAGTATCAGTGTTAACATGAGTATTAGTATCAGTACCAGTACTCGTATTAGTATTAGCATTAGTTTTAGTATCAGTATTGGTGTTACTAGCTGAAGTAGTACTAGCAGAAGTAGTAGTACTAGCAGAAGTAGTAGTA